CTATATTTATGATCCCAGTCGCTCTGCTCACATATATACACATATATGCACATATACATATACATAAATACATATATAATACCTTAGCTGCCATATGTGTGTATGACCAGCTATGCACTCTTTCTCTTTATATACATACATATACACATATGTGTCCATGTACCCAAAATGTATATATCCAGCTATAGTAGCTGGCCTCTTATCTATCTATCTATCTAGCTATCTATCTATATACATATATATGTGTGTGTGTTTATAGGATATATATGAGGTCTAAGATATTATGTATGTCTTTACATATGTGTGTGTGTATAAGTGTGTGTGTGTATGTATGCAAGCCTGTATATGTATATATGTATATGCATGTAGGTATTTGCATGTATCTGACCAGAACATTTGGGATCATAAATACAGAGAAGGTATATCTATCTATCTATCTATCTGTCTTCGACTCAGAAGAGCTTGGCTCTTATGTACATGTACATATCCCCAACATGTACATATCCAACCAGAGCCACTGGGATTTATATACATGGGATATGGACGCATGGTCACATAACATGTATACAACACATACATACTGCACACACATAATTATATATATGTGTATATATTCACACACGCACACGCACACATACGTAAGGGTGTGTGTATACAGCCAGCTAAAAATATCTTAGATGTTGCATATATTATTTGTGTGTGTATATGTATACACACACTTACATATATATGTATATCTGCCTGTTTGCTTGTATATAACCAGCTAGAAACACCTTAGGTCTCACATATAATTTATGTGTGTGGGTGTGTGTGTATATATACATACACAAATACACACACACATATATGTATATTCATATGTGTGTGTGTATAGTCAGATAAAAACTTGGCTATATACACACACCTTAGATCTTGCATACATTGTGTGTGTTAGTGTGTGTACATACATACACATATACACAAACATACTTATGTATATATGTCTGTATATGTATATACCCAGGTAAAAACACCTTAGATCTCACATATTTATGTGCATGTGTGTATATGTACACGCACACGCAAGCATATACTGACACATATATATATGTATATTTGTATGTGTGTATGTATGTGGCTAGCTAAAAACAACTTAATTTCACATATATCATTTATATGTGTGTATACATACACAAACATATATACACACACCTATACACACATATGTGTGTATATTTGTATGTGTGTGTATATAGCCAGCTAAAAACACCTTAGATCTTACATATATCTTATATACATATATATATCATCACATATATATCATATACACAGATGAACACACATCTATCTATCTATCTATCTATCTATCTTAGCTTAGACCTTATCTATAGGTACCCCAAAAATACATATACATGTATATTTATATCACCAGCCAGAGTCGCTGGGATCTCACATACATTTATATCCCCAAAATATCTAGAGCCAGCTGGGCACAGCCTCGATCTTGCCTGAATATGCTGCAAAAATGTATGTATCCATCCAGGACAGCTGGGACCTTGTATCCGTGTCTTCCCCTCCTTCCTCAGCCTCCCTAGGTAGATCTGGGCTGGGTGGGGGTGTCTATTCCCCCCCACTGTGGGGCAAATCTGAGAGCAACCCCCCCCACTACTGACTCTTGCTTTGCTTCCCACCCCTGGCATCCAGAAACCAGTACAACCAGTATGCCACAGGCCTGCCCAGTCCCGGCCTCCCAGCCCTATGGGGAGGGGGGACCCATTGGGCTTCTCTCCCTCCCCTGAAATCGGGAAGGGGGGGGATTTTTCCACCTCCTGGAAGGGGGGTGGAGGAAAGAAGAGTGGGGGAGGGGAAAATGGGTGTGCGTGCCTTTTAATCCCCTCATTTTGGGTTCAAAAGAGCCCTTTTTTTTGGGGGGGG